TTCAGCATTATGGAAATTATTATAAACTATGTATTCAATTTGAATTGTAAATTTTTTAAGCTTAAAATTACTTAAAATAATTAAAATTAAAAATTWATATTATAATRCTCATATWAATTTTTTAAACGTTCCGGTTCGTAAAATTTTTCATTTCGAGCACTGGGTAAAACCATTGATTTTATAATAGACAGATAGCCCATGGTATAGGAGTTTTCGGCAACTTATATTATGTTAATAAGGACTGTTAATTGATCATTATAGTATGGCCGCACATTGTTATCAATTATCTGTTATCAGTAATCGGTGGTCCAAAAAATCAAAATATTAGTGGTCAAATACTATAATATAATAGTAAATAGATACTTTAAGTAATACAATTAGTTAATAGTTATTGAAAATTGAACTATTGACTGTAAACATTTCTGATATATTTTTTTTAAATTAAAATGCCTACGATTTGTGCCATTTTTGGGTGTTCTAATAAAACTACAAACAAAAATATTTCTTTCTATCGTTTTCCAAAAGTTAAGATGAATGCTGCGTCAGACCTGAAAATGAAAATGAATAAACAAAAAAATGCTTGGTTGAAATCATTACGTAGACTTGATCTAGCAAATAAAAATATTGACTATATGCGTGTATGTTCTGTTCATTTTAAATCTGGTAAACCAGCCAAATACCAAGACGAAAATGATCCAGATTGGTGTCCAACATTAAATATGGGTTATTGCGTTACTAATGGTAAGAGTATATTATTAGGTATAGTTATAATGATGAATTTATAAATTTAATATGATAGGTTTGTGTAAAACTAAATTCACAATAACTGTTAAAAGTACATCAATTAAATCTTTGTTAAAAAATATTAGGTGTAGCTACTTCTCCAGTCATGAAAAGGTATCAAAGAGCTACTAAAAGGAAATTATTCACAAATAAAATTAATGAACCAAATACCAAAATTTCAATTAACAATGTAAAAATACCAAATTTAGTTTTAAAATTGGTCCTAATTATTCAACAAAATTTTCTGTATAGGATTTAGTTATTGAAGATATAGAAAATGAAGATATGCCAATCGACACTGGTATATCGTCTTCAACTGAAATGACAATGATGGACATACAAACATTACAAAATGATTCAGTACAAAATAACTTATTAATATCAAAATTAAAATCTGAAATTAATTATTTAAATTTAAGTGAAATAACTTTTAATAATAGACCAAAAATGTTAACATATTATACTGGGTTAGAGAGCATTCAACTATTTAACTTAATACTTGAGCAGATTAAACCAGGGTTAACTTCCAGCAATCAAAGATTATCAGAATTCCAAAAGTTATTATTATGCTTAATGAAACTAAGATTAAATTTACCATTTGTGGATTTGGGTTACAGATTTAATATTACTTGTTCAGCTGTTTCTAATATATTTCGTAAGGTAATATATCTTTTAGAACACATGTTCAAAAAATTAATTTACTGGCCTGATAGACAATGTTTACGTACCTTAATGCCTAGATCATTTTTCAATGCATTTGGCAATTCTGTTGCAGTGATAATTGATTGTTTTGAGATTGGAATTGAAAAACCATCGAATTTAAAGGCCAGAGCTCAAACGTGGTCATCTTATAAAAATAAAAACACTGTAAAATATTTGATTGCAATTACTCCACAAGGTATTATTTCATATATATCCGAAGGTTGGGGTGGTAGAGTCAGTGATAAGCATATTACAGAAAATTGCGACTTTTTAGAAAATTTATTGCCTGGGGATATAGTGTTAGCTGATCGAGGGTTTACAATAAATGAAAGTATTGGATTTCATTATGCTACATTAAAAACTCCTGCATTTACTAAAGGACAACCTCAGTTACATCCTTGTAGTATTGAGGAAACAAGAAAAATAGCGTCTGTTCGAATTCATGTAGAACGAGTTATAGGTTTAACTCGTTCAAAATATAAAATACTTAATGGCCCTGTTCAAATAACATAGACATAATAATATATGGACTGCGCTTTCCTCACCCCCAGTCTATCATGTCAGGTCGTCGAAATTGTTTGAGAGAGATGGCGATAGTTGGKGRCAGTCATGGAAGAAATACGTCTATATTTTATACACCATGAATATGTTTATTATTAATAAATGTGTAATAATAGTAAATATTATAATTATTATATTGGTATTATAATAGTTATAAATTATAATAGTCACTCCATGTTTTTACATCGACTGACGATTATATAATCCATATATATACGCGAACAAGCGACTTATTGTGTTATTATAGTGTTATTTACTGTTATTTAACTTAAAAAATAATAATTATTATTTTTTAAACAATATTTTAAAAATAATAATGAAAACTTGTTCTTGCCGTTCTTACTTTTTAGTTTATACTTGTTGACACTTGACTGTTGTTTTGGACATTGGTGATACTAGAAACTAGATAATGATTATTTCATGGCTTAAATAAAAATATTCAATAGTTTCTTCCATGCTTGCCCCCAACAATCGCTATCTCTCTCAGTTTATATCGGTCCCGGTTTTCTCTCTCTGAGCGCAGTCCATATATTATTATGTCTATGTCAAATAAGTACCCTTAGACACCAAAGTGACAAATCATGTCTCCTTGATTCGATTGTCACTGTATGTTGCTCATTAATGAATTTATGTAGTTCAGTTGTACCTTTAGAATAAGTACATATATATTCATACCTAATTTGTTTAAGCATACTTAATTATAAATATGAAATGTTTATTAGTTTCTTTAACTAAAATAATAAAACAAAATTGTTACATAAAAGACAATAGTTAAAATATTATTTACAGGTTGAACATTTCCAATTTTTGTTTGGCTTGCGTTTGATACCTAAACATGTATAATGGTACCAAAGATTTAAACACCCTTCTTGAGAACACATTAACATTTTACCCCCTTTGTCTGTTTTACACATACAATAAGGATATGTTTGTCCACTTAAAGACTCTTGATTTGTAGTTGAAACAAGATTGTTGTCAGCATTTGAAGTAATAAATCTTCCCAGTAACTMAGGTTAAATAGCTTCATAAAAGAACCATTTTGATTTAATTATTATTTCATTACACAATTCATGGTTTATATTGATGCGTTCTATGTGATAGTTGTTTGGCGACCAAATAACGAAATCTGCATAATTTACACCACAAATCAGCATCTGTGTTTGAACTTGGTAGAAGTATGGATGGTTGTTTTTAAATTTTCCATCTGTTAAATAGTCAAGATTTTCTATATCTTTTCCCTGACTTACACTGTAGGGACATTTTATTTCCAGACAACCTTTTCCACAACAGTCACAGTTAATCTGGACTTGCCCCCATGTATGGGATATTTGAATTAATAACTAATCCAGATTCAGTAACTGAAAAATTTATGTGGTTGTTTTGTAATTTTTTAATGTATAATAATCGACCATTACTTTCATTAGTATTACCCCATTCTGTTGCTGCATTTTTAAATTTATTATTTAAGGGATAACAAATAGATTTAATAAGACTTATATTTGAGTTGTACGTTTTTACAGAACACACATCCTTGACTCTGGATGCAGTTATACGTCCACTTCTATACAAGTACCATTCTTTAGACTGTGACTGTAATTTAGTAAGTTCTTCAATTTGGTTACAATCATTCACAGTTAAAGAAAAATTCATACTAGAACCTAAAGTGAGCAGCTCTTCTCTACTAAGTAGAGTGTTCTCATCTTTATAAATTCCATTTAAACTTTTAGGGAAAGAGTTAACTTTAAATTTTAAATTATAAGGTGTTACTACCTTTAAAATACCAGCATTACTATTTATTTTTTCTAACTTAGAAAGAAAACTATGAAAAGTATCATTATCTTGAAGTGTTTTGRGWAGTATTTTAATCAAATCATTTTTTGAATTATATGTAGGTGAACAATTTGGATCAATAGTTTTTGGATGACTAAAATCAATACAAGATATTTTTTTTGGTTCAGTATTTTTCTTAGAAGGGGTAACCCAATATGCTGAGACATCAGTAACTGACTTCTCTGATTCAGTTTTTTTCAAGCAACTATACTGAAGAAAAAATAGAACAGCGCCAACATGCRAACAACATTCTCCTAGACCAGCCATACAAGTACAGTGTGCAGCTAACACATCACCYGRYTTTTTTAAAATAAGCCATGGTATAAGWTTGGTGTCATTCAACCGTTGAGAATGATTCACCTATAAATTGTTAAAAGCAGAAGCAAAATTACACCAAGCAAAATAAACATTTATAATAGGAGCTTTTAAGCATATAAACTTACCTCTGAAACTACAAGCGTATTATTATTAATATCAAGCCATTTAACATTGGATATCCATCCACTTACAAAAAAATTATAAGCTTCTAAACTTTTATAAGCCTTAAACTCTTGTAAAGTGTATGCACTTTTAGTTAAAACAAGGTAATTAAATATRTCAGGATATGTTACATCTGGTACTAAATCTAAATTGTTAGACCATTTAATAGATGGATCTTTAAGCATAAAATATGGATCATGGGAGTCAATATTGTATATCTTTTCTAGGTACCTTTTTTTAACTTCCTTAGTCATACTCCTAATGTAATTACTTAGTGTTAAATCCATTATACTTATAAATTAACACCACTGAATAGAATAATACTTATAACAGTTTATTACGAACACAATTTAATACAATAAACAATTAATAACAATTACCTATATTATAATAATCAAAAATAAATTTCATTAATATATTATAATATGCAATATTTAATATATTTCGGTAGTATCACTGACGTTTTTGGACCACCGGTAATTGATAAGAATTAAAATAAGTTTAAACCTAACCTATATTATAATAATCAATAGGTAGCGCTGGTCGGTGTATCAGTATCATTATTATGAATTGTATTAATAGTCAATAATAATAACATAGAACATAATAGAAGCGACAGTCGAACAGCTGATCGATTTGTTTTCATTTTGCCGGAGGTTCAACATGAAGTTGGCAGTGGAAGCTCGGCATGATGTTTTAACCATATTGTAATTTAAAATCTGTAGCATGTTTCGACTGTTATCACTTTTTTCTGTGATATTGATAATTTAAATTTTTAAAAATTAGAAAATACATTAAGCATTGCGATACGGTTACAACATCATACCGGTCATCCACTGCCAACATCATGCCGAGCCTTCAGCTCAAGGTCAACAGAAATATTTTTCGGTGATCAATGGGATTTTGATAGCTGTCGCTTCTATTATGTTCTATAATTATAATAGATATCGACCGGCACGATCATTATCTGCGTTTATACCGAAATAGATTTCTGAATAAAACAAGCTTGCTTCGTTAAAATTATGTATTATTATTATTAATTATTAAGTGAATGGAGGATGTCGGCGCACCGTTTGTTTTCCATGCACAACATAGACAAAACGCATTTACGCAAAATCATGTTTTTTATATTTTTGAGTTATCTTTAGAGTAAAATCACCCATTACAAAAACGATAGAGAATAATATTTTTGAGAGTATGACATAAATTTGTTTAAATATTGTTTCAAAACACTTTAAACACCATTTAAAATTTCATTTTTTTTTCATTTTGAAAGTCATAACAAAATTAAATAATAATAAAATATAAAACCGATATGTCAATGTCATTTCCTAGGAAATAATAAAATAATATTATCCTCTACAAACCAAAAAGAGAAATAATTTATATTCCTTACAAGCAGTGGCGGCTTGAACTCTTTTTCCCTCGAATTACGTTTAATATTTTTACACCACCCACCCTAAAATATGGTTATTAGTCATTAATTATTACTGTACATTATCTGCTGAGTACCTACACATATAATATATGGCTATATATTATATTTATTGTTCATAATTTAATATTTAAATCATCAACCTGCAAAAATGGTCTANCCCACCCTTTGATATTTTTGTGAATCTCATGATTAAAATACACCCCCTTTGAACCGCCACTGCTTACAAGAACAATACTCATTCCGTTTCGGCGTTTCCATTGATTCGATTCGAGAGCAACGATCTAATAATATTTAAATAGTAGGTTGTTAAAATACAAAATAAAAAAAATTAAAAACAAACTTAAATTACTAATGAAGGAACAAGAATGAAAACCCAAAAAATATAATTCAAATATTTATTCAAACAAATAAATATAAAATATATAATAATGAATAATAAAATATAAATAATTATAAAAAGAAACTTAATAATAATAATAATAATAATAATATTAATTCAAATAAATAATTAATAAATGCAATCATGACATCATAAGAATTTACAAATTATATAATAGGTAACAAAGATAAAAAAGCAACGAATTATGAAATTAAATATGATTTAAAATTTTTAATTTTAATACTTTTGCTAGTTGTGATGTAGTAGAAATTGTTTGAGTTTTTTTTAAATATTTTACATATTAATAAGTGATCAATAATGAATAACTTATGTTCTTTACAATTACAATCGTTACCATCATTTAACCACTGGTTTATTAAAGCATCCACTTTTATTTTTTGCATTAATTTAAAACGAAGTTTTTTTTTATAGGAATAATTTTCAAAATATTTTTCAAAAATATCCAAACTATGGTTAATTATTTTATTAAAATAAATAGATGGTGCCTTAAGTCCGGTATTAACATTTTCGAAAGAACTATAGTTTTTATTTATTAAAAGAATTTGATTTTTTCATTAAATCTTTACTAGTTAAAAAATTATTTTGGCAAAAGTAACAGTAATTTTTTTATGCATTTATAGGCAAGGTATCCGGTAAAATACGTTACTGAACAGTCCTCCAAGGTGACTTTTGTAATTTGGTGTTGATCAAAAGGCAACGTTGATGAATTAGATGAAATCAAATCCGTAACATGTATTTCATTACCTAAAGATGATATAGGTACATTAATTACTGGGCCGATTATTACATTAAAGTCTTCCGTTT